CATTGGCGATAACCGATATCGCGGACGATGATCGACGTCGTTCGCGACCTCGTTTCGTTCACGTTCGCGCCCCGCGAGCGCGATCCAGCAACCGTGGTCCACAGGCCCGCGGCGTATGCTGGTATCATTGGCAGTTTTGGAGCGGAGGCAACGGCATTGCAGACCACCCTGCTCGATGCAGATGCCGGGAAACGCAGGAACGGGACGTTAGAGGCGCAAGCGACCCCGAACATAGTGGCGCGCCGCTTATTTCGTGACGGACACAAACACGAAAACGAATTTTTTAATTGACACGGGCGCGGATCTCTGCGTGTTCTCCCCTCGAAGATGGTTCGAGGGCCACGACAGAGATCGACCTACGAGTTATCGGCCGCCAACGGCACACCAATATATACATACGGGACGGAAACATAACTTTGAATCTCGGATTGCGACGGCTTTCACGTGGCGTTTCGTGATCGCGGACGTGTCGAAGCCAATAATCGGTGCCGATTTCCTCGCGCATTATGGCCTCCTCGTAGATCTGCGCAATTCTCGCCTCGTCGATCAGCTGACGAGCTTGACCGCACGCGGGCGTTGTATTCATTGCAACGTACCGCAATTAAGACGATCACAGGGAGACGCCGTACCACCGGTTGTTGGTGGAATCGCGGACATTACGAGGCCGAGCGGACAAATTCAAGAAACGATCCACGCCACGCGACATTTTATTGAAACGACGCCAGGACCGCCTGTCGCGTGCAGGCCACGAAGACTCGCTCCGGATCGACTCGCGGCCGCGAAAAAGGAGTTCCGACGAATGGTGTAGACCGGAATCGCGCGACCTTCGGAAGAGCATTGGTCGGCGCCCTTACATATGGTGCCGAAAAAGGGCGAAGAATGGCGACCTTGCGGCGATTATAGAGCACTCAACGCGAGGACGATTCCGGACCGGTATCCTGTGCGACATATCCAGGATTTTGCACAGGCCCTCGGAGGAAAAAAACTATTTTCAACGATAGATCTGGTGCGGGCGTACCACCAGATTCCAGTGCGGAGGAGCATATTCCGAAGACGGCGATCACCACACCGTTTGGCATGTACGAATTTCCGTACATGTCATTCGGATTGAGAAACGCGGCGCAGACGTTTCAGAGATTCATCGACGAAGTCTTACGCGGATTAGACTTTTGTTACGCGTACGTCGATGACATTCTGGTCGCGTCAACGTCGGAGAGGAGCATCGAAACCATCTTAGAGCAGTATTATTCGAACGTCTGCGGAATACGGGGTGACCATCAACCCCGCGAAGTGCGTATTCGTACAGCAGAAGGTAGAGTTCCTGGGATACGAAGTTTCGACGGGGAACACGACCCTGCTGCGACACACGTGTGGAGGCGATCCTCGCGTGTCGAGAGCCAGGAACGGCGAAGGAGCTGCGACGCTACCTAGGCATGCTCAACTTCTACCGACGATTCCTGCCGAGAGCTGCCGAAATGCTGACGCCGTTGAACGATCTCCTCCACGGCAACGTCAAAGGGAAAGCGGCGATATCGTGGACGCCGCGAGCGCAGGAGGCATTCAAGAATTCGAAAGAGAGCTTGGCACAGGCCGCGCTCTTGCGACACCCCAGGATAGACGCAGAGCTCGCCCTGTTCACTGACGCGTCGGAGCAGAGCATCGCGCGACTTTGCAACAGCGTGGCAGCGACGGATGGGAGCCGTTAGCCTTCTTCTCGAAAAGCTAAGCCCATCCGAGATGAAGTACAGCGCGTTCGACAGAGAACTGCTGGCAATCTACCTGGGGTCAAACACTTTCGATACATGCTGGAGGCGCGCGCGTTTGTGATCTACACGGATCACAAACCGTTGATCTACGCTTTTCGTCAACGACCGGAGAAGAGCACGCCGCGCCAGTTCCGCCACTTGACCTCATCGGCAGTTCTCAAACCGACATCCGGCACGTGACAGGCGAGGAGAACGTCGTGGCGGATGCGTTATCACGAGTCGAGGAGCTGGATTCCTCCCTGGACTACGCTGCACTGGCGGAGTCGCAGGGGACTGACAAAGAGCTCGACGATTATACAAGGCGAGAGACCGAATAAAACTCGAGAAAGTGCAGATTCCCGGAACGGGGATACAAGTCTACTGCGATACGACGACATCGACACCGCGACCGTTTTTGACAGACCCTTTCGGCGGGCCGCATTCAACTTGGTGCACGACCTGGCACACCCAGGAATCAAGGCGACGGGCAGACTCGTGGCGCAGCGCTACGTCTGGCCGTCGATGAACCTGACTGCCGCAGCTGGGCGCGTGCATGCGTGCCCTGTCAACGTTCGAAGGTCACTCGACATGTCTCGGCGCCATTAGGAAGATTTTGCAGTACCATCGAGCAGATTCGAGCACTTACACCTGGACATTATCGTGATGCCCGTCTCAGAGGGCATGCGATACTGTCTCACTACGTGCGTGGACCGCTTCACACGGTGGCCGGGGCGTTCGCACTACGAGACCAGAGGCGGAGACGGTCGCAAGAGCATTTTACGAGGGATGGATTTGCAGATTCGGGGCGCCCGTGCGAGTAACAACGGACCAGGGGCGCCATTTCGAGTCCCATCTCTTTCGACGGCTGAGCGAGATGACAGGAGTACAGCACCTGAGGACGACGGCGTACCCCCTCAGGCCAAGGCATGGTCGAGAGGTTGCATCGCCAGCTCAAGGCGCAATCAAATGCCGGCAGAATGATCGCTGGACGGAGGCGGCTGCCGACGGTGCTGCTCGGGATCCGAGCAGCGTGGAGAGACGACCTGCAGGCGACCGCAGCGGAGCTGGTGTACGGCCAGACGCTGAGGATCCCAGGGCAATTCCTGAGTCGACGACCTGTGGACAGCGAGGACGACGCGGCCGACTTCGCAAGGACGCTGAGGGAGCAGTTCGAGGAGCTGCGCGACCGGTGGACGGCACCCGACACGGGGAGCGACGGCCGTTCCTTTACAAGGACCTAGCGACGGCCGAACAGGTGTTCGTGCGACACGAGGGACCGAAAAGATGTTGGCAGGGCGCCGTACGAGGGGCCGTACGCAGTCATCAGCCGAGCGACAAAGTCTTTGTCGTGCGTATGCACGGCAAAGAGAAAACGGTCTCAATAGACCGTCTTAAACCGGCTTATATTTTGCAGAGCGAGCCAGAAAACAACAGCCCGCAGAGTCGACGGCACGAGACCGGACAACCGAGGTCGAGCACGAGGCGCGCGAGAGGACGCGAGGCCGCTGCCCGAGAGAGCCAGAGAACGACGAGAGCGGAAGAAAGGTCCGATTCCCGAGTCGTTTCCAGGCGGGCCTGTGACGTCGAGGAACCAGGAGGTGCATCGAGAGCCGTGAGAAACCGCCGCGAAGAAAAATATAAAAAAAAAAAAAGGACTTATATATTTCTCGCGAGTTAATTTTTTTCTTTTTGATGTGTGTTCTCGAGAAATTTTTTTTTGTTTAATGTAATCGACACGAGCCGCGAAACGTAAGCGAAGACGAATTCGACATAGAAATCCGTATATAGATTCTGCGTTTATCTTAATCGCGTTGAATTAAATTGACGAGTCTCGGACCGAGAGCGACGCGCGTTTCGAATAGCAAGTTATGACCATATCATTATTATTTATTATTATTTATTATTATTTTATTATATTTATTATTATTTATTATTATTTATTATTATTTTTGTCGTCATATCAGATTGATTATGGTCTTTCGAATTCAATACAACAGCGAGCAAATTGTAGAATTCGTCTCGGTCCGCCAGCGAAGAAATTAGCGCGGAAACAGCGCAATATTCGGACGATATCGTGCTATCGTTATAGCACTGGCGGGGGAGTACTGTGGCGATTACATCGTCACATACTTCCCTGAGATTAATAAGGAAAACACGCATACGAATACGAACACTGACATATACGAAAAGGACAAAGCATAAATAAATATAATAAATATTACAGACGAGACGAAAGACGAGTAGGACAGAAACAAAGAAGTAAAAATAGATAGAAAATTCGCGAAGCCTCTCGAAGCCTAGCGAAGGGCGTTTTAGGAGGCAAGGTATAAATAGAGATTTTGAGATAACGATATACCGTCTTCGATAGTTGCGCGCACGGACGCATCACGTTTGTAATCCGAGTCGATATATCTATCTGTATTCACGCGTACCCTTGCCTTGAAGAATATATTTAGTTAAGTACAATCATTGCATAACTTTAATTAATTCCCGCATCGTTCCTCCTAAGCACTCGCGACGCGCGAAAGAGATACTAAAGAATAATTTTCGGATAATTTTGGTTTAGAATCATAGCACATCAAAACATTTAAATAGTAGAACTTAAGCAGTAAAGCGATGAAAACTTATAAAAAAAATATGAATACATATATATGTTTTGTATCCTTTTTATAATTGTATTTACATAAGCAGTCTTAAAAATTATTATCTAGAAAATTATCTAGATCGCCATATAATTTTATCTTTTATCTAAATATATTTAAAACAAAATCACCTTCATCTTATCTAAGATGAATTCACATATTTATATTTCATCTTTATCTAACTAATTTTAAAAGCATCTAAGCACAATACTGCACATATCTATTAATAACTACTCTGATTAAATTGAATTGTCTCTATATTTAGTATGAAATTAAATTAATATGAGATAATCAAGTTTAGGAGTTCTGCCTGTATATTTACGCATAATATGTAGGTCATGTGACTCAATTGACTTTGCACACTAGATGAATGATCATTAAATGATCGTTTAATCCGGTCTCCGGCTGTCTCTTTGTTCCTCCTTCGTCGTCTTCTCTCTCCCTCACATTGGCTTTAATTGGGTCTTCACAATTACTGCCATTCCACCCCTACGCCTTCTTGTTAGTGCGCATCAATAAACGATGTCACGACGATTAACGAGACAATGCAGCGTCTCATACATGCATATCTTGATCTGCATCTATTCATTCTGCATCAGTCCATTTGTCTAGCTCGCATTTATCAACCATTTTTCAATGGATCGATTCGTTCCTTCGAGCCACTTCGAGATTTTCTCTTTGTCGATAAAAAATCAATATTTATCATTCCGTTAACGATTAACATTTACACTCACATTTCATTCATCTTCTCGTTTTAATTTTTTTTAAATATAATTCACAATTTTAACTGAAGGATGTAGGATATGTGATCTGACAGTGTTTGCTGTTATATAAATAAAATTACATAGATGATCATCTAGATAGTTTTGGTCTCATCTTATCGTTCTCGTCTTAAAAATATTATCTGGAAGTCATTTACATAAATCGCCATATATAATTTTATATTTTATCTAGATATATTTAAAACAAAATCATCTCTTTATTTTATCTAAGATAAATTTACATATATTCTCATCTTTATCTAGCTAATTTTAAAATCGTCTAAGCACAACACTGGATGTTGATATGCAAATATATATATGATTTAAAACGCGATAATATTGATTTGTACAGCACTACAGCTTAGAATTTGGGGAATTGTACTTGCCAATCTGTCCGCTGGGTATTGAAAGCTCCTTATGACTCTCTCTCCTTCTCCAGCCTCCCTCGAACATCTTGGTACAGATATTAAACTTTAATGCCGGTACTCTCGAAGTAAACGCCGCTTTATTGTCTATTACTCGTTGTTGGCGGTAGTGCCGCAATTTAGTCGAACGCGACCGCAATTACCGACGTTACCCGTCTATTCTCCCACTCGGCTTTTCTCTCTCTATCTCTCCTGTAACCCTCTTGTTCTCGATAACGAGATAACGAGGCCGCAAGAGGCACGCCGAAGAGCCCAATAATTCGCCGCCCTGATCCATTCGCGAATCATGTCATCGACACTTCAACAATTCGCAACTGTAGCCCAGGCTCTCTGCCCGATTCGTCGCAGCCAGTCAGCTGCGACGAATCGGGTCTAATAATCCTGGCAATTACGGGGCGAAACAAGACGTCCTTACAATTAGTTAGTCGTGCGCGCGGAGATATATCAGGGTGTCTAGCAGTCAGGGAAATCTGGAAAACCGGGCGTTGTCAAGGAATTTTATAAATCTGGAATTGTCAGGGAAAAGTTAGGAACTTTTACTATTTATCTGGATTTTTTTATATTATTCTACATTTATCTCAATAATTTGAAATTTTTTATTAAATAAATATAAACTTTTCCTTGACTCTCAGCACGCTAATTTTTTGTGTTAAAAATCGATTCATCTACAGCGTGTTTGTTAATTTATATTTTCATCGTCGTGTTATTTTATTTCAATGTGTTTAAGGGGATCCTAAATGTTTGAAAAGTCGTTTTTTCCTGTTTTATCGACAATATGTGAGGTTAGATAAACTATAAATCTATTCGTGCACACACAAAAATGTAGGATGATCTATTCTCTTTTACTAGCTTCCAAATTGATATCTAAACATTCACTTATATTCCTTTATCTAATGCCAAATCCAGTCTAATTTCAGGTAAAAACAATCTGTATAGCCAATAAATAGATTTATAGTAATCTAACATTTTGTCGATAAAACAGGAAAAAACAACAGGCTCCTCGAGGATGTTTAGGATCCCCTTAATAGAGATAAAACTAAAAAATTTGATATAATATAAATAAAAAAGGTGATTATTTAAATAGTTTATAGTGACATGTTTGTTTCGATTATCGTACATAATGCAGATTGTATAATTGATTTAAATTTTTGTTTTAACTTCCGAACCTTTTCATTGTTGACAAAAATATCTCAAGAATTTCATGATTTAACATTTAATTGATTTATCTGATTATATTGATTTTTATAAGTATATGCAAATTATATATTTGGAGAAAATAATACTAAAAAGTCAAAGAAAAAATTAATTTCTGATCTTGGAAAATCTGAAAAAGTCAGGAAATTTTTTGCATTGAGTCTGTTGGACACCCTGTATATCGAATATAAAAGTCCCTTCTGACAGAAGATTACACGAAGTCTTAGTTTGCGGAATTACAACTGTGTGTAATCGCGAGATAGCACGAAGTACTAGAGGGAGGAAAACGCGAGCGTGAATTAAGCGGAGAATTAAATCGTGACACGATATTCTTTCCCTCATCATATCTTTCCCCCTCGTACAATTCTCTCTTTCTCGTTCGTTGATCCGCATTATTTTTTTTTTTTTTTTTTATTCATTGTATCGATTTTTCCGCCATCCTTCGTCATCGCAAGCGTTTTTTTTTGTAATTGCGTAGAAACGTAGAATCGCGCGCGATTCCGGAAAACATAGGGGCTTTTATCAAGGCCAGGAAGTTAAGGGAGAAATAAAAGAAATTGCGTATATATATAAAACGAGTGCCCGAGGGAAAAACGGGAGAGGCCGAAAATAAAGCGCAGCAAAACATCCGTTTCAAAACATTATCCGAGAGCGCGAGCTCTTAAACTTTCACGAGGGAGGAATATAAACAGTTTAATTTTAATTGTGATTCGCCATGCGAATCGCTACCCCGAGTTTCGTTTTGACGAGAAAAATATTAAGAAATTGTATTATTATCCGTCGAGGTTCTTATATTTTCGCGTTTGCGATAAAAATATTACAACTTTTATTCAATCTTTTATGCGCGGTATTATTCAAAGCGGAGAATTTTCATTGCTTTCATAAAACAAAAATGTGTATCACACATATATATATATATATATATATATATTATATTCCTCATTTTTATATTTATCTCTTTTCGGCGAAATTATTTTTTTAAAGAGACGTCATATATTTTTAGTTTGGAACTCTCTCTCTCTCTAAGCTCGAAAATTTGCATCATTTGACAGATCGCATCGCGTGTTCACTCTAAACGGTTGGGATAGGACTAATTAAGGAAAATCCTCTTCCTCACCCTTTTTCCTGACCCAACTAAACTTTCCCCGAGAGAAGGACTCGAGTTTTGTGGTTTCTCCGTCTTTGAAACAGAAAGAATGCGCTCGTCCAGGTCGCCTGATGAGACTAGCACGTAGTAACGAGCGAGATTTGGCGAAGTAGTAGTTATCGGACGGAGGTAACGTTACTGCTAATTACGGATTCGCGACGTGCCGCCAACTTCGAGATCTTAATTAAGAGAAAACCGCCAAGAAAATTCCTTACCTCTGTCCTTCTCCTCGAAAAAAAGAAGCATCGGCCCTGCCGAGACGAACAATCGAGAGGGCTAATAACTAATTTTTACTTAAATGTTCTTTTACGAAAATTATTAAGAACACTTTTTATTCTTCATTGTTACCTGCGAAATTTCTTGGAATAAATTTCTTTTAGTAAATTTGTGACAACTGCGCGTCAAAAAAATTGTATTCTTATCTTAAGTTTATGACACTTATATTTATATCTGTCACTAAAATAGGCGCCAAAAGGATTCTCTTAATTTAAGAGGAAAATTCTTTCTAAAGAGATTTTTTTTATTAGATATTCTTATTACATATTCTTAATGCAAGGATATATACTTAATAGGATGTTTTTTATCAGTGTATTATTTGAAATTAATAATCATGATAAAAATCTTACAAATAAATATTTGTTATTAATTACATATATATTTAAATGTTATACATATAATTGAATTTTTTTTATATTGACATAGTTAAACACACATTTTTGTTTATTATATTATTGCTATTAATATTAATTGAAACTTATATTATTTTAAATCATTTCAATAATTTTATTTTATTAATTTATTTTAAATTAATTAATAATTAATTATATTTAATAATTATTTAAATATAGCTCGTACAAATTAAAAATAAAATCAGATTTTAATTATATGTATTTATTGCGGAACTGAAGTTGCAAAAAGAAAACTGAGAATATATTTTTAATTTAAGAGGGTATTTCAAAAAGCATTACGTAAAGAGGGAAATATCCTTATTCATTAAGAATATCTATGAAGAGGACTTATAAAGCATGCATTTCCTGAAAACAATTTTTTCGGTGCGCGCTCTAACAAATCGCGATCCACTCCATCCTAATTTTATTATCCCTGAAAACGCTGCAACGTGCATCGCAATATCTCCTAGATCGAAAGAGGATATATATATATTAACTCTAACTAAATTACACGGCAAACCCGCATGCTGACATAAACTCGAGCGCGAACTGCAACCGTGTATTTTTAACGTTCGTGTAACATGGATACGTTTAATGCGGGAGAGCGAGAGAGAAAATACGTAATTCCGCTAATGAGCGGGTTTTGCAGGACTCAAAGAAGAAGAATATACGCGGATAAAGATATGGCAAGAAGAATAGTCTGATGATAAATCTAAATTCCGCGGAGAGATCCCTGGCATCATTGGCACGATGCCACTGGCAATTCAATTTTGGGCCGTAACCTCTGGGTTAACAACCGCTGGAGGAATACGCGCTTCCCACTTTGTCATAGTTCTATGCTGTTTGATGTACTTTTTTTTTTTTTAACAAAATGGGTCGCGGAGCAAAAATAAATCTTTTGACAATTTTGCGTAAAATGGACGTTGCTTTTTTTTATTCGAGAGATTCTGCGTTATTACAATTAAATAATGTTGTACACAGAAAGAATTTTCTTTCTTAGAATTCACCCTGAAAATCATCGTAATTATCGGACAATGTGGTATTGGAAGAATTTTATATATTTTTATTATATTAAAAAATTAATATCTACCACAATAAGATATAGAATATGTTCGATTAATTTTGATATGCGAATAGTAATATTTTAGCCCCCCATTTTGTCATAGTTCTATGCTGTTTGATGTACTTTTTTTTTTTTAACAAAATGGGTCGCGGAGCGAAAATAAATCTTTTGACAATTTTGCGTAAAATGGACGTTGCTTTTTTTATTCGAGAGATTCTGCGTTATTACAATTAAATAATGTTGTGCACAGAAAGAATTTTCTCTTAGAATTCACCCTGAAAATCATCGTAATTATGGGACAATGTGGTATTGGAAGAATTTTATTTACCATAATAAAAATTAATATCTACCACAATAAGATATAGAATATATATTCGATTAATTTGATATTTTATTGTGAAATATTAATCAGAGAAACTCTTATAAAATGTGTCCAATATTACATTGTCCCATGATCACCATGATTTTCAGGGTAAATTCTACGAGAAAATTCTTTCCGTGTACGTCTTCGCTAAACTGGTATGAGTTATAAAAATCCCTTGGTTTCTTTGAGAAGAAAATGCAAAAAAAAAAAAAAAAAAAAAAACAAAGAGGTGTGTCGATGTAAATGGCCGCATAACCAAACCGTGTTTGTCACCTGTATACGCGACACATACAGGCGGAGATCAAACAGAACGAGCATCCCCTCGTCGTCGTGACGTCACTATGCGATCCCGGAAGTTTGTTGTAACACAGTGAACGAAGACCGACCGGAGAAAGGGAAAGAAAGAGAGAGAGAGAGAAAGAGAATTAATGGAACGGAGAGGGATTGGAGAGACGGATCCACAAACTGGGGCGACGACAGAGAAGGAGCAACGTGATGTGCGACGCAACATCATCGAGATGGTGGGGAACGTGTTGGGTGTCCGTGTGTGTGTAAAGGGG